TATCAAAACATATGTTAAACTAAAAAAATGTACTAATCATTTTCCTTTCAAACATGCATTGCCCTCACAATTAAGATTTAATCCTTAACATTTAATAAAGGTTCAAATTCCTTCTTATTCCGTTAACATTTATTTTTATACTAAAACCTCATTTTCTTCTTTACCATCATGATTTCTCTCTAATTTCGTTCAATTTCCTAGAAACCAAACAGTCTAACAAAAATCCATAGTTGGATTATTCAACTAATTCAATGATAACCTCAACACATGAAATTAAAATCTAGAGTTAAATGGTACTTGCAATTTTAATTTGATTCCACTTTCAAGCTTACAATTAATCTTATTTAGAGGTTTGACTAAAAAAATTAAGAAAACATTGATCCTTGAATGGTACAACTTGAGAATCCAAAATTTCCATAGGTGTAACCAATTTTTATTTTTTATTTTTTAAATAGAGAACTCAAATTGGGTTCTCCTTGAGAACTTTCTCAATTCACCCATCATTTTATTACCCTATCCTGTCAATACCATGTTGGTATAAATATAGTTTATTTAGACCTTGAAGTAGAAAAATCCCATCTCAATCACTCATGGTCTCGTCTTGAGTGGGATTTTTCTTGCTTCTATGGTCCAAGTGGACCATATGTATGCTAGCATGGTGTTGATCATGAGAATGGATTAATGGAGTATAGATGGTCATATGAGTCATGTGATAAGATTTCAGGCTAATTATAGTAATAATGTGAAGTTTATTGGCTGAAACTCACAAAGTACATGTTGAGGGGTTAATGATCGTGAAAACAAATAGTTAAAGGGCTTTTAAATGAGGTATGCCGTATAAAAAAATTGCCCTTTTGAGTTTTTAATTTATGCTCACAAGCTTTTAGAACACTAACATTTTTGTTGCTAATATTTTTTTTCTTATTTAATCTTGAAGAGACCATTAAAATGACATGTTTCACATGAGATTATGAATAGTAACTCTCCATGTGTTTTTTTGGTTTTTTTTTTTTTGTTTTCTAAAATTTAAAATTCATAGAATAAAATTAACAAGTTTTATAAATTAATTAAATTTTTAGTATTAGGTATTGGTAGGTACAAATTTTATAAATTAATTTTGATTTTAAATTATTCATTTTGATTGTTTAAATCTTGGCAACTGGAATCATAAATCGAACACTATGACCATACTAACATGGATTCCTACAACCATGTTCATTGGAAAAAGTAAGTTTGAATTCCCTTGGATGAGTTTGGTTAATGAAATAAATAAGAACCTAATAAAATAAAAATCATGAAATAGGTAGTAAAGGATTAAAAAGAAACACCAAAAAAGAAAAGGGGAAAAACCTTCTTATAAAACATTCCATGTTCCACTGATAAATAGTAAATTAATATACAAGCCTTTTAATGATTGTATAAAACATTCAGCACTCAATATTGAGTCCTTACTTTATATGGATAGATGCATTAGGAAAAGTAGAAGAACTACTTAGAGGTAGAATACATTCCAATTATTCTCATTCAAAGATAACTTCTAGTTCTCTATTAATTGGTTTCCTTGGGATATTGACACTCGCTGTCCGCACACCATCTCCATGGCCAAAGGGATTTGGTGGCACTGTCAAACTATTGACTTCTGCTTCCAACATTTGAACCACGGCTTTCATTGATGGACGGTCTGTTGGGTACCACTGAATGCACCAAAGTCCAACAATTGTAAGTTTTCTAGCTATCTTGGCATGTCCCTCAGATTCTATTCTAATCCCAAACTCTTCTCCTTTGTCCAAGCAATTATACACCCATTCTGGGAAGTAGACTTGGCTTGTACTCTCTACTGTGACATCAATATTCTTCCTCCCTCCTACCATTTCCAACAATAGCATTCCAAAACTATAAACATCTGATTTATAGGATGCTTTTCCGAAGTTCCGAGACAATATCTCAGGAGCAATATACCCCATTGTTCCTCTGGCTACAGTCATAGAAACAGCACTTTGTTCCTTGGAACACAACTTTGCTAGACCAAAGTCGGAGATCTTGGGAATGAAGTTATGGTCGAGCAAGATATTGTGAGGCTTGATGTCAAAATGAAGGATTTGTTGGTCGCAACCTTGGTGCAAGTACTCAATTCCTTTGGCTATTCCCATAGCAATATCTTGAAGCTTCTCCCAACCGAGGAAACGATCTTTATCTTTGGCTACAAATATGAACTTCTCTAAGGACTCGTTCGGCATGTACTCATAAACAAGAGCTCTTTTATTTCCATCTGCACAAAACCCAATCAAGCGGGTAACATTGACATGGTGGATTCTACACATTGATCCCACTTCGTTAATGAACTCTTCCCCAGTCGCTCTGAAATTGTTGAGGACTTTAACAGCAACCAAAACATCATTAGAAAGTCTCCCTTTGAAAACTGTTCCATAGGCCCCTTCTCCAAGTTTTTCCTTGAACTGAACTGTTATTCGCTTGATGTCAGCATAAGAATATCTCGACGGCTTGAGAGCTTTGTAATCCTCCAGAAAATTTTCAATCTTGAGTTGGCCTTCTTTCTCTGCTTTATATGAATGGTGAACGCGGTAAAGTCCGAAGGGAATTATTCCAAGAAGACAGGAACCTAGGATTATTCCTGTAGCCAATAGTTCTTTCGGTCTATCTGTAAAACATTCGAAAGTTAACTTCTTGATATATTCCTCAAATCTATTACAATCTGATATGACAAAACTAAGGCATCGGAGTTCTGATAGGGGATGCAAAATTTTAAACTAGATGTTCATCTCAGAATAAAAAAAAAGGAGCATTTAAAGCAACAGAACATATAAAGGCTAGAAAATTTAAAATCAAGGCGAAATCTAAGGGGAACAGATGAACTCAGTAAGGATGGCATTAACATTTGGAATTGCCAAGACTTAAAAGCATACCTCTTTGTTTCTTGGATTTACCCCAACACTCTGTATCATCCGCTGTAATACTATTATTTATCTTCAGTCTGCATTTCTTGCCTTCCACTTCACATTTTCTGCAGTTTGGTTTGGACCAGCTCAACTGAACATCGCTTTGGTAATACAACATATCTTCAGATACTGCTATTACCGAAATGTTCATTAACGTTCTGGTGCAATTTAATAAATTAAAAGCATGCCTAGAATTGGAAGGAAAAGCTATAACTACGAATCCTGGAACGCTTAAGCAATGAATTTCGTAAGAAGAATATTCATAAAGAGTCTTTAGTTTTTGCCCTGAACAATTGAAAATAGTGTATTTTTGAGGTGGGCCGTTGATTTTATCCCTGTAATCCTGGAAGGGAGATGCAGATAAATTGAGATTGGGGAGCTGCCGCGGGAGGCAATCCACCGGATCGTGTAACTTAATCCATTGTGCTTTGTAATTTATGCGCTTCACAAACAACTTCACATTTCGTGGGAGCTCGAGCACGGTCTGATTTTCCTCGTTGCAGGATAGTTCAAACCCAGAATAACCGCAGTGGTCCGGCTGCTCTTTTAGTCGAAATGGGAACCGGATGGCATGGTGATTGCACTTTTTGGGTTGGCATTCGTCTTTGGCAGCATGGAGCTCTATAACCCTCACTATCAAGACAAAGCAAAAAAGCGAAAGAATCGCCCTGAAGAAACTTTCCATCCCTGAAGTCTTGAATCGAAAATCCAGCTGGATTTAGGATACAAATAGCAGAACTGGGGAGAAGAAGCTGTAAGTAATAATGAGCATGAGGTTCTGCAAGGTGCGGGGAGGATTCGAGGACTCCCGATTTTTCAAAGTAGGAATTCCTTCGTCATTCATCTATGAAAGTTCCGCTCTGGTTTGGGTCTTTTCCCATTTTTTTTAATTTAATTTCAGTATGGCCTTGGCAGGGTGCCTCAGAATATGGATATTATCATAATTTAAATTTTTGTGGTGTAATTCCTCTTTTTTTCAGTTTTTAGCTTTTTGGTGTGGCAGGGGCGCGTTTTGTTTGGTGTGACTGGTGGAGGTTTTAGCTTTTTTAGTACTGTTATGAGTGATAAGTTTAAATTTTTATTGGAGAAAAAATAAAGTTTTAACTTTTAGAAAGGTGAAAAAATAAGTAAAAAATAAGTAAAAAAAAAATTTATGAAAAATTTAGATTTAAAACTTTTGAGTTTTTACTGTTTAAGAGCTTTTTGAAATTAAAAAAATATTAAA